TTGTTCTCGGCTAGCTGTCTTAGTTTCTTAGTGCTGCTCAAATACCTCAAGTGGATAGCTTTGAAGAAGATAAATCTATTCTCTTAAGACTCCGGAAGCCAGAGGTCTAAAGTCAAGTCACCAGCCCTTAGGGACGGCTCTGTGTGTCAGCTCTTTGCAAAGATCCTGGTTTCCTTCACATTCTGTAGCCACAGAGTTCCTTGGTTCCTTCACAGGGTGTATTGTTGTTGTTAAGTGCCATTGTGTTTGGTCTGACTCATAGCAACCCTGTATAGAGTTTTGGAGGAGTGGCTGGTGAGTTTGAACTGCCAACCTTATCCTTATCTTAGGGAGCCACACCAGGACTCCCCACAGGGCCTATGCTGTTGTTTTTGTTTAGTGCCATCCAGTTGTTTACAACCCATAGTGGACCTGTATAGGGTTTCCAAGGACTGGCTGGGGAGTTTGAACCACTGACCCTGCAGTTCAAACTGACCTTGAGGTCAAGTGCTTATCCTATGGTGCCATATCAGGACTCATATCTTCCCCAATTGTGCTTGCTTATTTCTGTCTATGGTGACCTCAAGAGAGATTAGGTTTGTGACACACCCAACACTGATGTATCTTCATTAACATAACCAAGAAAGTCTCAATTACAGACAAGATTACATTCATAGGTATGCTGTTGTTAGGAGACTTCAGTTGGTTCCAATTTACAGTAACCATATAGGATAAAGTAGAGTCCTGGTTTGGCTCTGCAGGTTAATGTGCTGGACTGCAAGGTCAGTTTGAACCACAGGGTCAGCAGTTCAAGCTCAACATCCACTCCTTGGAATCCCTATACACGGTTGCTATGAATTGGAACCAACTCAAGGACATTTAACAACAATAGGATGAAATAGAACTGCCCTGTAAGGTTTTCAAGGTTGTAAATCTTTACAAAAGCAAATTGACACCCCTTTTTCCCTCTTATATTTCATATATTCTTCACCAACATCATAATTCAAACGCATCGATTCTTCTTTGGTCTTCCTTATTCATTGTCCAATTTTTGTCTGCATCTATGGCTCCTGAAAATACTATGCATTGGGTCAGATACACCTTAGTCCTCAAACTGGCTTCTTTGCCCTTTAACACTCTAAAGAGGTCTTTGGCAACAGATCTGCCCAATGTAACATGTCCTTTGATTTCTTCACCGCCACTTCCATGGGCATTGCTTGTAGGTCCAAGTAAAATGAAATCCTTGACAACTTCAATCTTTTCTTCATTAGTACTACGTAGCTTAGTTTTGAGGAGTTTGGTTTTTTTATGCTCAGGTGTAATCCGTATTGGGTAGAGTCCTGGTGTGGTAATGTAGGATAAGCATAGGACTGCAAAATTGGTTTAAACCACATAGTCAGTGGTTCAAACTCACCAGGCACTTCTTGGAAACCCTCTAATGGGTCACTATGGGTCAGTAGAGACTCCATGGCACGTGTTGTTGTTGTTGTTGTTGTTGTTGTTAAGTGCTGTTGAATCAGTTCCAACTCATAACGACTCTGTATAGGGTTTCCAAGGAGTGACTGGTGAGCTTGAATCGCTGAGTTTACAGTTCAAACAGACCTTGCAGTGCAGCACATGAACCCGCAACACCACATCAGGATGGCACTTAACAACAAAAACAATGCACACTGAAGGCTGTGGTCTTTGATCTTCATCAGTAAGCACTTCATGTCTTCTTCTCTGTCAACAAGCAGAGTTGTCATGTGTCGCCGCAGGAATGCAGTGATTGTGATTCAGACACACATGAGGAGGCTTCATACGTTCATGGAAAGACTCCATTTTCATTTCATTTCATTTATCCATAGACTTTTTGAACCCCCGTGGTACTTTAGGGGGGCCACAATTCAATCCCTAGCTGTAGTCAACATGTGCTCTTGGGCTTCAGGATTACCTATACATTAGCCCATGTGGCTTCTCATACCCACCACCACTGCATGTTATACCTCCCTCAATCCTTTCTAGGGGCATACAACATAAATACAACATTTAGTTAAAAACAGAAGCCTCAGTATTCTGATATTTAATGCTGGCAGTCTTAAATACCAACTCTGAAATCACCTTGTTATTAGTCTGATTTCTTTTTCTATTCCATTTAACTTAACGTGCCTCTAATCCACTGCCTTTGAGGCAATTCCGACTCATAGTGAACCTATATAATCAATCTTTATGGCAGCAGACAGCCCCCCCTGGCGGGTTTGAATCTCTGACCTTGCGATTAGCAACCCAATGCCTAACCCACAATGCCGCCAGGGCTTAGAAGTTAAAAAAGACTTTGCTTGCTCTGTAAAGAAAGGGCTCCGTTGGCCCCAGATGATAGACTTTGCATGCATCATGTATGTAAGATGATGCAATGTGGCTCTTCATTGCCTCCTTCCAGAGTCTGGTCTTGTTTATGAGTCTTGCACAATACGGGAAACCGCTCAAGAATGGGCTTTTTTTCACTTCAGTTCAACACAAGTGCATTGTAATGCTTTACCAGTATGTTGTTGTTGTTGTTGTTGTTATTGTTAGGTACCATGGAGTTGGCTCCGACTCATAGCCACTCTATACACCATCTTTGTGTATAAGCCTGTTTTTGCTGTAGCTTGTAGACTTTGCTCTCCTCCTCTAAGGATAAAATAATCAAATTTATTCTAATTTGCATTTTTGATTAGCAGTAAAGGAAGCTGCAAAATGTGCCTAGGGAAGAAATGCCAGTTGTATGGTGGCCTTGAAGAAGAATGTATCAATGCCCTTGTGCATTGGCTAGTTAGTTAATCAGCCTCTTTTCATGGAGGCCTAGAGGAGGAATTGCTTTATAGATGATTATCTTCGTTAATCAGCTATAATCAGCCCTTCCTAGAATGGTGAAGCATTTCAGCTTTGTTCACTGGTACAGATCACATATAATTGTTTCCAGACTGTTGGCCAAAACAGCTGTAGGAGCTTTTTGCCTTGGCCATACATATTCAAGGTCTTTGAGGCACTTTCTTTGTATAAACAATGCAGATATTTTATTGCTGTAGTTTAGTTGAAATTTTAAAGAAACGTTTAACTCTATTAGGATTTTTTCCTTTTAGTGTCCACTTAGGAGAGCGGGGGTGATGATTGGGACCATGTAACATGAAAGGGCCCCCGGTTCCTGCAGTGGAGGAACTCTTTCATCTCAGTCTGAATCCTGTCCCACTGCTGCTTGAGGATTTGGAGTGTGTAAAACTCCTGGGCTTTTTAATTATGTTTAAACCTTCTAAGAATTCTGCACCATGAAGGCCAAGATGGAAACATATGCATGGAAACATTTTATATCCAATTTGAGGATTCAATCAATGGTGTCCATTTGGGCCAAGTCAGAGCCTCTAAACAGATCAAAGACAGCCTGGTGTTGAGGAAAGCTTCTTTGTTGGGAAGCAATAATACTGGGTTGGTGGTAGTGTGCCATGGTGTCAGTTCTGACTCACAGCTACCCTGCACAGGGTTTCCGAGGCTGTAAATTTTTACAGGAGCAGAAAGCCTCATCTTTCTCCTATAGAACAGCTGGTAGTTTCGAACTGGTAACCTTGAGGTTCGCAGCCCAACTCGTAACCACTACGCTACCAGAGCTAGCATAAGAAGAGTATAATACAAAAGGAAATTTTATTCATATTTCCACCATCCAAATCAATCAACTGTACTCAATTTTTTAAGTTTAATTTACAAATATGTAAATATGCATACCTATTGTATATATTGATAATAATGGCATCGCTTATATTTGACTTTCTGCTTTCAAAGTTCACAATTATGTGATAAGCATTCTCCATCTCTTGTGGCCCAATCTAATAATTTAAATGGCTGGATAATATTCCATAAAGTTTGTGTTCCACCATTTATTTAATAATTCACCAGTGGAGGGGCTTTATTTATTTTTAATCATACAAATATGGCACTTAAGAACAATATTCAATGAATATTGTCATATGATTAAAAAAAAAATCTTTGGGTTTATGTTTGAAGAATACATTCCACATATTTAGATTACTGGGACGCATGGTGTCAAAGACTTAAATGTTAGGCTGCAGAAGTGAACCCCAATTTCACAAAGAGTAATATCACAGGACACTGCTTCTAGTCACTTCCCTAAGTTCATCAGCAGTAGGTATGACCTGAATTTTTTTTTCTAAGAAGATTTCAAATTGTTTCAGGAGAAAAGAAAAGAGATGCATCAGAAATGTTCCTTCTAGTTTGGCAAAAATTTGTATTGTAGGAAGAAAGTACAAAGAAACATTCCTCACTGCTAACAAGTGACTCTCATATTTGGGAAAAGGAGGAGTCGGAAGAGACATGGCAGACACATCCCCTGCAGTAACCAATTCAAGGCCTCCAAACAATGATAGTTCCCACTGACATCAAGTTGGCAGGGAAGAGCAACATGGGTTAGCAGCACTCGAGGAGGAATGCTCAGCTTGCTTCTGCAGCTTAATGAAGTGCAGGCTTCATGAAAATCCTAGGGTACAGTATTCTTCAGTTCCAGAAAATGCAACCACAGTCCTCTTCAACATAGCTGCACGTCCAAATAAAACCTGTGTCTCAGGGTAATGCAGCATCAAGTCCTCAATGTGTTTGGAGTCAAGAGAGTCTTTGTGCAAATGCCTCTGAAGAAGCAAACCTGTAGAGGACTGTAATGCTACCACAAGGTTTGAGTGGCTGGTGTGTGTGGCTAACAGTGTCACTGATCTGCTAAGCAGGCTTTTTTGAGCACTGTATCAAGGAGCTCTGATAGCATAGTGGTTATGAGTCAGGCTGCCAACCTCAAGATCAGCAGTTTGAAACTACCAGCAGTTCCATGGGAGAAAGATGAGGCGTTCTGCTCCCGTAAAGATTTACAGCCTCGGAAACTCCGTGCAGGGTCACCGTGAGTCTTGGGACTTAACAACAACATCACAGATGCTCATGCTTTCTTTCTCTTTCTCTGGCTTTCCCTGCTGACTCCCACATTTGTTGATGGCTTGATTTCATTTCAGGTTCTGATCTACAATGGCCAACTGGACATCATTGTGGCTGCTTCCCTGACAGAGCGCTCCTTGATGGCCATGAACTGGACAGGATCCCAGGAATACCGGATGGTGGGAAGGAAAGTTTGGAAGATCTTTAAATCTGATGACGAAGTGGCTGGCTATGTGCGGCAAGTTGGTGACTTCCATCAGGTCTGGAGACACTTGGGAGACCAGGGTTTGTGGGAATGGGTCTGTTGTTAAGTATGGTTAAGTGGGTTCCAACTCATAGCAACCCTGTATAGGGTTTCCAAGGAGCAGTTGATGGGTTTGAACTGCCAACCTTGTGATTCAAACTGACCTCATGGTCCAGTGCTTTATCCTATTGCCACATACCAGAACTCCCGTGTGAATGGGCTAGTGGGATGAAAATAAAATCTGTATATCAGTAGGGAATGCTAAGCATCAATCAGAGTTGTCAACAGGCAGGATGTCCTCTGCAGCTCACTTTCCATGAGCAATCATTGTCTCGGTTCAATTATAGTACAGAGGAAAAAGTTTCACTGTTGTTCAAGTGGTTGTCATTGTTGTTATGTGCCGTGGAGTCGGTTCCGACTCATAGCGACCCTGCACAGGGTTTCTGAGGCTGTTAATCTTTATGGGAGCAGAACGCTTCATCTTTCTCCCACGGAGCAGCTGGTAGTTTCGAACTGCTGACCTTGCGGTTCGCAGCCTGATTCGTAACCACTACGCTACCAGAGCTCCTTGTTCAAGTGGTTAGGAACCAATTAAAAAGACAGTACTCTGCTGTATTCGTTTCCTAGGGCTTCCATAGCAAAACGTCTCATATTGAGTAGCTGATGACAACAGAAATGTATTGTCTCACAGTCCTGGAAGCTAGAAGCCTATAGTGTCCATAGGGTCATGCCCACACATCTGCCAGTTTGTCAAATTGTGGTGGCTTACTTGTTGCTGTGGTGCTAGAAGCATTGCCACTGGTGTTTCAAATACCGGCACAGTTACCCATGGTGGGCAGGTTTCAGCTGAGCTTCTAGACTTAGACAGACTAGGAAGAAGGAATAGGTGGTCCACCTCTGAGGACTTAGTCACTGAAAATCTTAGAAGTCACAACAAAACATTATCTGATACAGTGCCAGAAGATGGACCCCACATGTTGGGAGGATCTCAAAATGAAATTGAGAAAAGGGTTGCCTCCTCAAAGTAGAGTTGGCCTAATGATATGGATGGACCAAAGCTTTCAGGACTTTTACTTGCTGATGGGATACAACTCAAAGTAATAAGAAGCACCTGCAAATGTCTATTAATAATCAGAACATGGAATATATAAAGTATGAATTTAGGAAAATTAGAAGCCATCAAATATGAAACGGAGTACATAAAGATCACTATCTTAGGCATTGCTGTTGTTGTTGTTAAGTGCTGTCAAGCCAATTCTGACCCATAGCGACCCTGTTATAGGGTTTCTGAGGAGCAGCTGGTGAACTTGAACCACTAACCATGCAGTTCAAATGGCTTTGCAGTCTGGTGCATTAACCCACACCGTCACACCAGGACTCCATCTTAGGCATTAGTGAGCTGAAATTGGCAGGTATTGGCCATTTTGAATCATATAGTTTACTATGTTGGGAATGACAAATTCTAACAGGAAGGGTGTCACATTGTTCATCAAAAAAAAGAATATTTCAAGATCTAAAAGTACAGTGCTGCCTGTGGTAGGATAATATATATATGCCTACAAGGAATACCAATTACTACAACTATTATTCAAATGTACACACAAATGGAACTGGAACAGACAGAAGGACCAAAATCAATGGTAAAGAAATTGAAGGATTCTACCAACTTCTTCAGTCTGAAATCGATCACATATGAAATTAAGATGCATCAAAAATTACTGGTGATTAGAACTCAAAAGTTGGAAAATATGACGTTGGTGATAGAAATGACACAGGAGATCACATGATAGAATTTTGTTAGATCAATTATTTATTCATCAAAAATACCTTTTTTCAACTATATAAGCAGTGCTTATACACATGAACCTCTCCCAACAGAATGCATAGGAATCAAATTGACTACATCTGTGGGAATAGATGGAAAAAAGCATCAGCCAAAAGCCAACTGTGGAACAGAGACTATTAATTGCTCATATGCAAGTTCACATTGAAGCTGAACAAAATTTAAAGAAGTCCATGAGAGTCAAAATACAACCATGAGGATATTCCACCTGAATTTAGAGACCATCTCAAGATTGAATGCATTACACACTAAAGACTGAAGACCAGAAGAGTTGTGGGAAGACATCAAGAACGCCACACATGAAGAAAACAAAAGGTCATTAAAAAGAAAGAAAAGACCAAAATGGATGTCAGAAAAAACTGAGACTTTCTACTGAATGTAAAACAGATAAAGTGAATGGAAGAAACGATGAAGAAAGAACTGAACAGAACATTTCAAAAGACAGCTTGAGTAGGCAAAGTAAAATATTACAGTGAAATGTGCAAAGACCTGGAGTTAGAAAATCAAAAGGAAGAACACACCCAGCATTCTTCAAGTTGAAACAACTGAAGAAAACATTCAAGCCTCAACTTGCAATATAGAAGAATTTAATGGACAAAACACTGCAGGAAGCATCCAAAGAAGATGGAAGGAAAACACAGTCACTGCACCAAAAAAAAAAATAAAAAATGCGGAAATGGGTTTTTTTTTTTTTACTCAGCCATTTCAGGAGGTAGTATGATCAAGAACCCATGATATGGAAGGAAGAAGTCCAAGTAATGAAGGCATATCAAAAACAAGACACCAGGAATTGACAGAATACCAACTGAAATATTTCAACCAACTCATGCAGCAATGGAAACATCCACTTGTCTATGCCAAGAAATTTGGAAGACAGCTATTTGGCCAAACGACTGGGAGAAGTACATATGTCTACTCATTCCAAAGAAACGTAAGCCAAAAGAAAACAGAAATTATCAAAAAAAAAAAAATTATAATTGATATCATATGCAAATAAAATTTTGCTGAAGATAATTTAAAAACAGTTGCAGCAGCACATCTGCAGGAGCTGCCAGAAATTCAAGCTAGATTCAGAAGAGGAAGTGGGACAAGGAATATCATTGCTAATGTCTAGATGCATTTTATTTATGTCAAATAAAAAGCTAGAAGCAGGAATACCAGAAATCTGGTTAGTTATGTTATTGAGTATGCAAAACATTTCACTGTGTGGATCATAGCAAATTATGGATCACAATGTGAAGAATGGGAATCTCAGAACACTTAATTGAGCTCATAAGGAACCTGTACATAGAACAAGAGGCAGTATTTCAAACAGAACAAGGAGACACTGCATTGTTTAAAATCAGGACAGGTATGTGTCAGAGTGTATCCTTTTACCATGTTTACTCAATCTTTATGCTGAGCAAATATCCAAGAAGCTGGATTATATTAAGAAGAACATGGCATGAGGGTTGGAGGAAGACCCATTAACAACCTGCAATATGCACTTTCTGATGAAAATCAAAGACTATGTACAGCCTTCAGTATGGATTACAACTCAATGTAAAGAAATCAAAAATCCCTACAACAGGACAAATAAACAACATCATGATGACAGAGAAAAGAATGACTGTGTTAATGTTTTCATTTTACTTGGGCTCCCAATAGATGCTCAAGCAAAGTATGTGTCACAAGTGCTTCAAATCCTCTTCACTGTCAGCAGCAAGGTTGGGTCATCCACATATCTCAGGCTGTTAATAAGTCTTCCTCCAATCCTGATGATCATGCTCTTCTATACCTGTGGAGCCCCCCGGACAAATTTCTCTAGCTGTTACCCCTAGCCCTGTCTCCTAACAGAAGAGCCACAAAGCTTCCAGAGCCTGTGGCCTCTATTGTGCTAGAACTGTGGTTGCTGTGAACCATTATTCCCTAAGGTGGCTTCTGGTCAACACTGAGCACTGCACCTCCAGTTGGCAGGCCTCAGCTTCTCAAGCATGAGTAGGACTTCTTCCATGATGACATGATAATTACACCATTCACTTCCAGAAAGTTTTTGGAAAAATCAAGAAAGGCCCTAGAGAAGCTTAAATTTTCCACCCACTTTTTATTTGAGGCAGTATTAAGACCTCACTTGTGCGCATGCATTTCCCTAATAGAAAACTTGGACATTAGAAATCTATAACTCCAAACAGAAATTTATTAGAGACACACTGTCTTAAAAGTACTTTGTTTTGAGAAAATAACAGAGTTCACTAATTTTATAAAAAGTCACTGGGTTATGATATGCATCACTTATTTTATGTGATTAGAAATTAGGATTATTCCAATGCAAAAAGGTATACTTGCCCACCCCCATTATACTAAATACTATGTGTGACACAGTGGGTTAATGTGCTGGACTGCATAATTGGTTTGAACTGCAAGATCGGCAGTTCAAGCTAAACAACTGTTGCTCAGAAACTCTACACAGGGTCGCTCTAGGTCAGAACCAACTCGATGGCACTTAACAACCACAACAACAACATCTTGGACAGAGGAAACATCTGAGGTACACATTTCTGGGACCAAGTAAGGATAAACTTTACTTTGGAAAAGTTATAACATTATAGTTTCAAAATTGAGATAAATTATGCCAAAGAATTAAATTCTGAAGAAATGACAGACTAAATAATTCAGAACGGAAATCCTTTTGGCAGTATATATTATGAGATGTGGAAACGGGCTTGGGACAGACAGTCTGCCCCTCGATTGTCAGCACACAGCCCCTCTCCCTCTCTGGGTCTAGAGTCCCCAGCTGCTCCATCTC